GGGGGTGATTGACGCAGATTGACGCCCCGTTCTGATTATGTCTGACATCACCTGCCCCCCTGCAGGTGGTTGCTCTGTCCCACGGTATGTGAGTATTTATCCTCGTGCCCGATCGATAACCGACCACCGACCAGCCGCTCAACAACCCCATCCGAGATAGTGCCGATACGTAACTACACCCCCGTAATCATTTCCAAGCACTCTTTGATCGTCGATGATAGTCTCCACCCTTGGAGCGGAACTATAAGAGAGCTTGTCCGTTTCACTATGAATGTTGCAAATACACATGAGATATATTTTTATTCGCTGTTAATAGTTGAATATATTTAGTAAAAAATGTATTAATTTATACTAGGTACACGTATATTGATAATTCTATTTAAGAGAAATTAGAACGATTATATTTCTATTATAGTCCTCGTTTTATCTTTATTTTTTATTTATTTTATTTTTTTTAGAATAAAGATATTAATAAACCTCTCTTAATTAATTTAAAGGTAAAAATCTGCGAATGCTAATAATTTAGATTTTATTGACAAATTTGAATTATATTGGCAAGTTGTCCTAGGGTTGAATTAGCTACGTCGTGTCGTAAGTTCTCCCGATTATCAGGCGACTAATATCATTTTAGCTTGTTTGATCTGTTTTTATCACTGACCGCAGTTATGCCAACGTCCGCCAGAATATTTTTTTTTTCTCTCCACCCTCGCTTGCTTGACAATCACTTATACGGGAGTTCGCACCTGGCCACCCCCGCACATGCTTTATTCCTTTCACCACTTTACCTGGCTCTATGCATACTTGTACACGCGTTCAGTATCGTAACTGATTTCCGTTATATTTTCTTATTACAAATTCACTACGATTAATCAACACCGCTTCTTTAATATTTGCGTGTGCTCTTGCAAAATGTAGCAAGCTCTGCAATTATAATTAACACCGTGAACATAATCAAGGGAGATTACCGTGTGAAATTACAGACTGAAGTTTCCAAAGATTTCAAGACTTCGAAATTTCGAGAAATACATACGCTATCGAATGAACCTGAATGCTACTGAAATATCGAAAGGTATTAATCGAATATCGCGACGATCAAGACCTCGTGTTATTTACAAAGCGCAGTTGTACTTTTTACAAACTTAATAAAAGGACAAGGCGTTTGAAACGCTTCTGTCATAAACGTCAATGGAAGCCACTTCATTTGGAAGGACACACAAACAAAACCGACAACCACCACGTATCTCGAGTAACACAATAGCGTAGAGGGAGATACACCTCGAACCATTCGTCCCCATAATGCCTACTCAAACGAAACACTATGTGTTTGACACATACGTACAGTTCGTTCATTCATCGAAATCATCAAGGCTCTTGAAGATCCATGATCTCAGACAGACGTACTAGAGGACAAAAAGGACGCGAGCCAGCGAATGAATGAAACTGCTGCTGAATTTAGCCTCCACACGTATATAATGTACAAACCTAGAGGTGAGCCACAAACAAACCGCGGGGCATCATGGCGCCTGTATACGCGTCTGCGCGTGCATGCTGGCTAGCACGAAGAGAAGAAACATTCGCCACCACAATCGCCATTTCCAAAGAGAAAAATTCAAAGTAACGATCGCGGCAGATGTGAGCACCCATACGTGAATTTGCTTGCACACCTACGACCCTTTTCTCCGCCATGGATAACGCATAATCGTCAATAATGCTTCCATTCGAGCCTTCAACCCTTTTTCCCCCGATTCGTTCGAAATCGCGGAGAAAAACAGCCTCTGGAAACACAGAATCATCCCTTTTTCCGATCGCATGGCTCGTCTTTCTGCTTCTGTACAGGTACACACATACACAGCCAGCCTGGCGCGGAATTATTTGAATAAGACATTTAGATGATCGGACAGACAGCTGCGAGTTCGGCCATCTTTTCCAGTTTTCCAGAGATTTTTGCATGGCGCAGGTGATGCGGGCACGCGACCACCCTTTCTATGCGCTGTCCTCTATCCTCGGCTCGTCTCCTTTCGATCGCTCGTACCCGCAGAAACCCTTTCGAAAACTGTCGGCCGTGAGTTACGAGGATCTCGATTCTCGAGAGAAGAAAGGCCCTCACTCGCTAGGGGGAGGCGATGCCGGGAGTAACAGATGCTAGATTTCCCGGATTCTACGTGAAGAACGCGCTACCACCGACTGTGTACACGTCAAAACAGCATAATCCCGTTTTGTGGCTACCTTTTTCCACCATATTCATGTCATTCTATCTTTTGCGTCTTCACTTAGAAATTAATGGCAATTCCTTTGGCGAAATGTTCCCTTTTTCAACCGAGTAGCTGGATACATGTAACAACATTGCAGTAATTTGTAAATTTTAATCCGTAGAGGATTTCACATTTTCTCGACAGAAACTTTTCGCTATTCGTTGAAGCCTGGCATTATAAAATATCATGACACGATACAATTTTTATTTTTCAGATGTTGTTCACATAGAACATTGTATCGTGTTTCCCTATCGATGATTCACATTCGGTACGAATGAACACGGCAAATATCCCTCAACGCGTTGCTCGTAACGTATAAAATAAAGAACGGCGCGATGATATCGTAACGAGGTATTTTATTCCCACGCATTTTCGATTGCGTGGCACGGTCTGGCACACGTAAAAGCTCACCCTCGGTCGTTGCCCAACTAACGCAGTGCAACGTACCCTTTCAATGAGAAAAAAAAAAAACTCCCTGAAATCGCGTTTGCATGGAACCGCGCCGCGTAATTACCTGGCAAATAACAACAACAACGACGTCACCTACGCCATATGGTGCTTTCTCGCAGAGGAACTCAACGGTTTCCACACGTAACATTCGTGGCTCTCTCATGAACGAGGGATTCACGAGCGAGATCTCTACAGCTTTGTAACTTCCGATTGCTAGTTACAAATAAACGAAAAAAACGAATTACAATTTAAAAAAAAATGAAATTTTTGAAAATCCGGCAAAAGTCATTTTTTAATTGAGCAATAGAGATCGTCTGAATTAACGCAAAGTATTGTAAAGAAATAAAATAGGCAGAAAATATTGACAAAATTATTATATACTAACAGTAA